CCTAAGCTTATTTTGAAAAATTAACATAATAGCAGAAATATATTATTTATAAAGCACTGTTCATTTCCTGCATTTCAGACAGTGTCACCTTTAAGTTATTTTCTTACCACTCTTTCCACACTAATGATTAGACTACACTAAAGCAGTAAATATGGTATCAACATTACCCCTCCATATAATCAATTTGAATTTTAACTAATATATTCATCATCCAGTAAATGCCATCATAGCAGCAGATAAAGCTGTAGCTAACCTTCAGAGTGTTTTAGCCTCCTGAAAGAGGCCAATTTTAAGGAAGGAGCTGTATTTAATTCCTAAGAGGTAAAGAAAAAATCTTTCATTCCCATGTGTCCTTCCCCACATGTCAAATGGTTTATTTTTTTTTAAACTGAAAATCTTACAACTTTTGTATTTCTTGCTAGCATTTGAAAGAGTGCCAATCAGTGGAAAAAGCTAAAGGGGTAGTTGTTTAGAAGAGAAAGACAAGGAAAGGTTTCTCTGCCCATAGTTTGGTTTGGTTTTTTTCCTAACTAAAAATCTGAGATGAAAAGATAGGTGGAAAAGAGAAATCCAGCCTCCCCAAAGGCTGATCAGCACGTTGGTAATGCAGCAGGCAGAGACAGCTTTGTGCTGACTGGAGCTCTGCCCATGCTCCAGAAATAAATGGCTACCCTTCCCTTCTCAAAAACGTGTTTTTACATACCACAGCCAAATCCACAGCTATTGAACCTACATTCACATGCTAAATAAAAAATCAAAATGTAACAAAGGATGTATTCTGGCCTTCAAATAACCAACACAAATCCACATTCTGTGAAATGGATGTTATGTGAAACATGGATTTAAAAAAATTCTAAAAAAGGTAAAAGAATATTGTAACTTTCGTTTTGTTTTACACTCAGATTCTGCAAGACCTTCAATTTCCCTAAGCAGCTGTACTTAAACAGATCCTTGCAAAATCAGTTGTCCAGTCTCTCCAAATATTTGCCTACTAATTAAGGAACTCATATAATGACCAATGTGCCTGTGACTCTAAACTTGAAGCCACTTGCTCCTGTAGAATTACATGTGCAAATTCTCTGGGCATCACTGGAAAATGAAGAGTGCAGCATCATGTACAGTCTAGAATCTCCAACATGGCAGTCTGTTGATGCAGGAGATTTATGAATTCTTTGATGGATGGAAGACTGTGTTAGCAGACTCCTACTTGCTGCATTATAACTTCAAAGATAAAATTACCTCTTTTCTTTCTTTTGTTTCCATTTTTGCAGGAAAAACTTCTGCCCCTGTAGACTTTCCCCGGGGATATCTGACCAGTAATTATAATAGTTGTGGAAATGGAAAGGTCTTAACCTTCATAATTTCTGTATCTCAGCTTCTCTTATTTGCTTCATTAATTTCTGCTGGTTTAGTAGACCAAAGCCTTCATTTTTGGAAAGGACCAAATCCGAAATATCTCCTATTTAAATTCACAAATAAGACTCCTTCCCCCAGACCCTAGGTGTGATGCAAATCCCCCTATTACTCTCTGGTAGAGTGCTGAAGGATGATACCATGGTATGAGGGTGTTTAACACAGTAAGTGACCCTTTTTAAAGTGTTGTTTTTAAGAGAAAAAAAGCTATTTATTGCTTCAGAAAAAATTGTCTCTGTAGCTATGATTGCACAGGAAAAATGATGTGTTCTTATCAGAATAGGTGACAATTCTTTTCCGTGTAGGAAAGGCTTCGAAGAGCAGATGACAGAGACAAAATTAGAATTTTTCTAGCAAGCTACCCATACATGCACATCTGCAAAGTGTTCCTGCTTCCTTCTCTGCAATCACTACTATACATGAATGTTTCACTTGAAATCAGAAAAGCATGTGAATCAATTTTGGCTTCATGGTTGCACCTGACTAAGCAATTACAGATGAACAGCAGAAGGCTCACAGATTCTTTCATTTACTCAAAGGTCCCCGAAGTTCCAAGGAAAATGTGAAACCTTTCTTGATGCTTGAATCCAGATTGGAATTTATTTCTTAGTTTTCTCTCACGTATGAAAACATTCTAAGGCTCTACAGAAATTCTGAATTAATACGCATCTGCAATGGCCTTTTTAATGTCGAGAAGAGAAGGATGTGTCTGAGCCTATTAACAGGGCCAAAAGGTTTCTACACTGAAACCAGTCACTAAAGCTGAGATTTGGGAAGGTTATAGAAAAAGATGTGAAAACTGACAAAAGATCTTTAATGAGCTTGTAAAGAATTCTGGAATCACTGTTTGTGACCAAACAAAAGTCAGATTCAAGTCTGATTTTTAATTAATTTCAGTTATAAAGATAAGTCAACATTAGAAAAACTGTCAAAAGAACTCATTCACTTGACTGAAAAAAAAAAGTAAAATCAATCATGTGCTGTCAGAAGCACACTTTAATGTGAGAAGTACACTTTAATGAAAAGACCAAGTGAGACAGAATTTCCGAAATTTGCTTCACCTGTTATGTTTGATAACGAAGCCAAGTATGTTGCCCAATAAACCATGCTGTCACCTCTACCCCTGCTGCTCTCTCCTGGGGTCAACTTGGAGCTTTATGACAAGATTACAATGAGATTATTCCATAATGAGAAGAATATCTAGGAAGGCAAGGGCTTTTCTGCTGAAGAAACTCATCTAGCTGCATGCTCAAAACACAGAGAAGAAATAAAGCAAGGACTGATGCAAGGGCAAAATTCAGCCTATATTGGTGTGCAAGGTGTGCTTTAATTGTGGTGCTACAGCTATACTGGGAGTTACCTGCAGTTCTTGGGAAAAAGCTCTCTTCTGACTTCTGCGAGTTATTCTGGAATGATGAAAACACAGCTAAGCCAGAAGCCAAGGCTCTTTGGGGCATCAGACATCCTGCTGCTGGTTTTAATGAGCTGTCCTGTGAATTCAGTTCATCAGTATCCCAGGGACCCAAGAACAGTCATCACTAGGTCCTTCCTGTGCTTTCTGACCCCATCATAGTAAGCAGGAAATATATAAGAGTTTTGAGAGCACTATGGCAGACATACAGACAATTGTAATTTTCTACCTTAGACCGTCAAAACGTGAGAACCTTTAATTCCTAGAAACAGAACAGACACTGCAACTGTTCAAACTCCACCAATATTTTTATCCTTTTCACTTTTCTACTTTGAAAATATATACATTGATTGCTGCATTAAATATTTTTTTGCCCCACACAATGCAGTGCTTTGCATATTTGCTGATGTTTTCCTAAAAGCACTGCGGGAATGAATCATTACTGAAACAATTTACTTTCAGTTAGTGCATGAATGCCTTCCCATGATGCTTTGATGCTTTGTTTGTCCTCCTATAAAAATTATTTATGACCCACGTGTGATCTTTTAAATCAGAATACTTATTCAGAAATCAAACTCCAGCATGTTAATGCAAGTAGAAGCCCTGACTAATTTTTCAAAGCCATGTTGAATATTCAAAAGCTAGGACTGAAGGAAAGGAGTTAACATTAATTAATATTTGAAGCAGTAAAATAAAAGCAACAGTGAAGCTAATTTTGCAGGACAATTAATCATGAGTCTTGCTAATTACACATGGGATTTTGCAAATGATTTTTTTCTCAGGTAGCAGAGTAAAAATGATAATCCACTACCCATCAAAATCATTGGCTCCTCACCAATGTCCCCAGCAAGAGCAATTAGTGGGAACAGCAGAGCCCTAGTAATTGCATGTCAAGAGAAGAGAATGTTAGAATTTTAATTGCTCCAAATAAAGACCACTTGCTCATACATACACCTGACTTTCCAAAACTAGTCTGCAAGCTGGAGCAAGTGTGTAACCACTTCCAGGTGTCTGCACAAAAATAACTCTGTGGGAGACGCACTCTAAGCCACACATGCAGTTTCTGGAAGAAAAATATCAATATACACTTATATTCTGAACTGCAGTGTCATCTCTTGAATATAAGAACTGGAGAAAAAAAAATATATCACCCACTTGGGAAAAATGTGCATATTCTTTATATTTGCCAAATATTTATTGCCGACATTTTTTGAAGAACTTTAACTATCTTCAGGGTGCCAAGGGCTTCAAATTTACTGAATTTTAGGATCACCAATAAAATGTTTTTAACAAGACGTCTCAAGAGGGCATAAAATAAAAAATTACCATATTCATGAGAGCAAGCCTGTAAGATTGCAATGCTATAAACTGGATGTCTATAATTTGCTTGTGGTTTTCTTAATTAAAAAAAAAAAACAACTAGTAATTAGGGGCTCCAGTTCCGTTTTTGTACTTTATCCCAATCAGTGACATGATACTATTACTTTTTTGTTTAATATACTTACACATGGATGCACACAATTGCAAATAATCAATAATATTTAAGTATGTGTCCAAGACCTAAATGATGATGGATATATTTAAATATTGCTTTCCGGGAAATTATTACTTTACTGGTCATGTAGTAACTTTTAAAATGTATAGGTTAAAAGGAACACCTGCTTTTTCTCTATTTCTTTTTCAGGTGTTTACCATTTACTTTCATTTTCAATTGAAATGACTGAATTGTCTTCCAAGTACCACTATATCCTATTGTCTTTTGCTCTCTCCTGACACTTCTATATACACCATATAGAGGCACTAAACAACTTTCTGCTGCTAGCTTTGTTCAGCATTAAACCACGAGTAGTAGCCTTAACTTGTCTAAATATATTCTTTGCATGTTCAAAATCACTGTACACTGTTTATTACACCATGACTGCTTGGGAAAAAAAAAGCAGGTCATGCAGAGTGCTGCTTCCTTTCCTGAATTACCAGCAGATCACAGGTGTTTATCAGACTCCCGGAGGTGATTCAGGTAATAAACACCAGGATGGCAGTTTAAATGGTTAGAAGCTTTTCCATCAAATACAGTCCTTGCAGTCCTATCGTTTTGCATATATTGCTCACAAATGGCAAATTATTTATGCAGCCTCCTTAAGTGGTTCCTTATGGTTTTTACTTTATTTTTCCAAAGCAGGAACCTTTTGAAGATGTGTGTTCTCATGACAAGGCAAACTATCATTCCATGTGTAAGTCTGACTCATTTCTTAAAGCTCACTGTAGATACATAATGCCAGCGACCTTGTTTTGCCCTTCTGCTTAGCTCAAATATCTTTCCTAAGGAAGCACCAGTGTCATCACAGAAGTTATTATTCTGTGCTTGTACAAGGAGATCAAGAATAAACTGTATGCAGCAGAAACTGGCTTTCCAATAAGAAAAGCTGTTCCAGAGATTTTCTTATGAAAGTTAAATGACAGCAGACATTGACTAAGATTGCTACATCAAAAGCAGGTTATAGAAGGATTTGCTGTCAATTAAAATAGGATGAGTTTTAGGAAACAAAGTGTTTAAATGTAGCTTGTTCTTTTTGTAAGAGTCAAACTTACATAAATTTATGCTACTGCACAAACTGACTGAGACATATCTCTGGCAATTGCCCATTACTTGTTATGAAATGGAATGTTTCATGGTGCTGACACACCAAGCCCATATTTAACACCAGAGTTGTGACATGAATCAATGTACTGGTATGCAGATCACTTGCTTCTTCCCTTCTTGACAAACAGCTCTGCAATAATCACTTAGAAATTCCTTATATGCAAATTAGGTATCAGGAAAGGATTTATGGCTGTCCAACATAATTTAGCACCAGGAAAGAAAGAGGAAAAGCCGGGACAATGTGAAATTTCTAAGAATCACAATTACCACACTTATGGTGCAATTTCTCTGAATCACTTAAAATTTCATCAGCTATGTCCTCATCTCTTAAAAAAATATGAATTTTCACAGAATATGTATGAAGTTGAAGGAGCTAGGAAACACTCTGAATATCCAATATTAGCTCCTGCTAATTTTCTACAGTTTGACAGTCAACCTTAAACCCTAGACAACAGACTATGGCTGTATCTTACATATCAGGTAAGTAATAGAGTATCACCATTTTGATCACTGTGGGTAAGAGTAAACAAATATTGATTTTTTTTACTTTTTTACAGCATGAGAATTAGTCACACCGAAAAAAAGCAACTCACTCAAGAAAATTCAGTAAATCTATAGCAGAGCTAACACCTGAATTTAAGTCTATCAAGCTCTAAAATCCTACTAACACACAAAACGCACACTTTATAATCAGTAGTTTTTTACAGTTGAATGAAAAATAATTCAGAATATAATATTAGATATAATGAGGAATGTCAAGGGTTGTGCTACCCAGTATGAAATTGAGATTGAAGTCAGCTCCTTTCCTGCTGTCTGTTAATGGCCAAGGATGTAAGTTCTGTCCATCTTCTCATGCCATTTCAGACTGTCACTAAGGTAAACATGATCATACCTCACAGGCTGTGAAAAACTTACAGGACTTCAAGCAATATTTATGAACAAAATGCAGGATGGCAGAAAATTGAATGCAGTAGATTGAATGAAAACAAGAAAGATTTTCTGTGATTTCAGTTTCAGATTTCCAGACACTGCAGAGGACAATAATTTTCAGAAAAAGGGACAGTTATGTTTGAAAGGAAGAGAAACAATGTCAAAATGAACTCCATATCACAGGAATGTCCTGCGTGCATTGAAAAGATTAGCTTGCCCAGAAAACTTGTCTTTTAAAAAATAATTTGAAATAAAACCAAGAAGAATTAATTTCACTTCAGTAAGTAATGTCCTAATCAAAGCCAATGAAGAAATAAGGTGATGTGAAATACATTTTTAGATCAAAAAAAGTAAGTTGGATCACTGAAATGAAAAAGAAATAAAGTCAAAAATTCAATCCCCATATCACCTCATTACTTCAAGATGCTGATATCACAGTCTTACTACAGGTTTCACGCTATTGCATCTATCTTTCATCTTTGATAAAAACATAAAACACCTTAAGCAAAGCAACTTGAACAATGGTACTGCACATGGTATGCAAATTGCAGGTGGCTTAAAGAATATACATACAGTGCAGCTGGATTTTATCTGCCAAACAGGTGCTAGATTTTGGATTTGCTGACTAGTCACAACTTTAATGACTTTTCAGTGAGAGGTGAAATGAGGACCTGGGGAGTCTTCCATTCATGCTTGTCTAGCTATTTTTATTTGGTTTTGTCTTTACTGAAAATTTTCAAAAGAACATAATAAATGAGCACATCACAACACTCTTCCTCAGAATATCCTACTCTTTTGCAAAAACTGGCAGTTAATAAACATAAAACTAATGTGTTTAGATACTGGAATAAAAATACAGGTGATGATGTGGCAGAAGATATTTTAAACCTTGCAGTCTGAAGCACCAATATATATAAAGTGCTGCACATCAAAGTACTCTACATGTCTAGCTAAGAGTCTGGCCCCACATATTCAAATACACAAGAAGACAGCAACAACCAAAACAACAAAGCGTGAGGTTCTCTTCCCTTGGCTTTGGAACAATATAATGAAGTGCAGTCCTTACATCTGCCCACAGGTCACTATGACTCCTCTATCAGCTGTACCTTGTAAACTCTCCAGCATATTATAGAGCCATGGTTTTAAACACTTCAGGGTGGAATGGTTTTTGGGCTTTTTTTCCTGCATGCTTACAGAGATTGGGTGTGATTATTGCATGGAGCACTGCCACTTCCCCCATCCCTACTGATACTGGTTACCCTGTCATGCTATGAACTCTGGGGGTTTAAATATTTTGACCACGAAATAGACTTGTCACAATTAAAGGCACATTAATATAAACTAAAGATACTAAAGATTAATATTTAGTTTGAATGTTAGCACTGAGGCACAATCTAAAAGAAGACACTGTTAGTAAAGCAGAGCTGAACTATGACCTTCCTTTTTCAGGGGAAGCAGCATATAGAAATGAGTCCTATCAAAACTAACAACCAGAAAGGACTATCAGAGTAGTAATCTAAGCTGAATTAAACACCTGAACAGATATTACAGAGCAGGATCATTAGCTAAATGATTAGACAAAGCTCTTAGGCATCCTACTTATCATCTCAGTTATAAAGAATGGTAAAAATAGTGCCCTACGGAGCACAAAGCAAGAAGACAACATTGTTTTTTGGAACAGGAGGAAAGCTCTGACGAAAAGAAACTTGCCTAAGGTTAATACAATTGTCTGGTTTTGGGTACTTTACACTTCTTCTCCAATATATCACTGCACACTTGCACAAAATGCCAACACATTAGCACAGTAATTCTGCCTACTTATTAATTATGCCATCAGTCACCCATCCTAAACATGCTGGAGCTGAAAAGAAACTGCAAGATGCATTTTCTTTTTCCAAAGGCCCTTTACCTTGGCACTGAGTCTGTTTTAAGTTTCCATACACGTTCCTCTTCTCCTACAGACTTTGACCTATTTAGCCTGTTATTTGGCACTCTTTCAAAAACAGAAATCTAAAAAATGTACGGTTTAGGAGTAAAGAGAGACAGGGAAATAATCCCATCTCCCAGAATCAACAGGATGTTGATACGAGATCCAGAAGTTCTTTCCCACCAGACAGATCAATGAGCAATTATCTATAAAGCATAAGGCTAGGCAGCAGGGTTCAACACTGCTCAGAATTATTTACTTCTCCTGTGATTTTAAAAACTATTCTCCTTGCCCTTCAATGAGAAATATATGTATGGAGGGGTCTTGAAAGCTGAAAATTCATTAGATGAACTAGGAACAAGCTAATAAAGCAAGTAACACTGATAACTTGAGTGCTCTCCTATAGAGAGAGCACCTTCATATGACTATGTTCAATCTGCTATTCATCACAGCAAATATTAGTACAGAAAAAATCACCCTGAAGTCCCTTCTCATCAGGTGATAAATACTGCTTGTCTTTTGCAGGAATAAGGGGCAACTGTGTGAAGAGTTAGCAAACTCTGGACCCAGGCTGCAAAACGTCCACTCACACACTCTACCTGATGACAAATTCAACCCCAGCACCAATCTCCAAAAATTTTGTGGTCTAATTATTTTAATGTCCTCATGCTCTGTAAATCTCCAGCCTCCAGTGCTGTTTCAAAGGCATTACAGCTGAGACAACATGGACAGCCAAATTAAGAGAGAGGCTACAAGAAGCTACTTGCATTGTAACAGCAAGAGTTATCTTCAGAGTTGCCATCTAGGCCATCTAGGGATGAGGCAATGACCTTTTTTTATTCAGCCACCAACACATGGGCTCATGCTTTCAATAATATGCTCCAAAGCCATGATTTCTAAGATCTGCTATACCCAGGTGTCCCAGCAGAGACACAGATGCAACTAGGACTGGCACCAGATGAGAGTTAAATAGCAAAAGGAAGCCTAAAACAGTGAAGCCAAAGACTGGCGTAGGGAGGATAATAGAGGTGAGCTGCTGCTGTTGATCAGGGATATGGAATATGACCCTCTTGAGGAATGAATTCAAGAGTATGAAGTCCATCTGAGAGAAGCCTGTTTCCTTTGCACGCATATGAGTGCATATGAGTCACAAAGCAGGGAGGGCCTTTCTGGACATCTCTGCCTAAACAAAGAGAAGAGAGGCAGACCTATCTCTAGAGACAATACCATGTCACATAAACAGAATAACAGAATATTCTGAGTTGGAAGGGGCCCAGGTTGTTCCCTTTACCAGCAGTCTCTCCGTGAAGAGAGCAAGAAATTTTCTGATGTTTGACAAACTTTTACACTTGAATTTTTTTAAGAATTGTATCAGTAGCAAGTGACTTTCTTTTAGATACTATTCTTGTTTTAAGACTTCACAGTTTCCTCTTGTTCTTTTCCCACTCTGAATTGCTCTGTGGCAATCTGGGAGATGTTCAGTACAATTACTTTCTTTCCTAGGAATGACACTTGTTTCTGGTGTGGAGCTACTGTCAATTCATCATACAAAACCATCATTAGCCCCACATCTGGAATTAGTAGCCCCCCTTCTCATCTGGAGAACAAAGTAATCCCTCTAACAGGCTATAGTGATGCAAGGCAGATTGGAATGACACAGCACTCAAAGAGTTCAAAGGCATCAGCCTCCAACACCTGTGCCACGCACACATGTTGGACATCATTCAACCTGAGCCTGGTGCCAGTGCCAGTTGCACAAGTATGGCATCTGCTCTGAATGTCCCTGCCAAAATGCTTGACCAGGAGCCAATACTCTTTTCCAAAGGAGGTGTTAACTCACGGGTTCATAGTCACTTCTCAGAAACAGAGAGTAGACAGAGAAGAAAAGTGATTTACAAAGTAGATCTAGCAAGAGGATTGTCCCTCTTAAATCCAGTTTTGCTTGCCTACATAACGTAGAAAGCCTCTGCCAAAGTGCTGTAGTTCTGTGTGCATACTCTGTTAGAAAGAGAGATAATTTAGTCTTCATCTCTGTAAAGGTGACTGGAGATAATGGAGCAGGTTATAATAAATTTCTTTCTTTAATTAATGCCTCCGAATCTCAGAAAGGGGAAGTCTGCTTTGTAATTAGGTATGTGTTAAGCTTTACTCAACATCAGTCAGGCTCACTACTGCAAAGTAGCATATCCCATTCTAGTCTCAGAGTTCACTTTGTACAAATATACCAGCATCTAATGAGCATCATGTATTACCGAACCTGGGATGCAGGTCCGACCATACCTTGAAACACATAACTGTTCACAAAGTGTCCAAAATTAAACTAGTGTTATGGCAGATCTAAAGCCAACCACAACACCAAAACAGATCAACAGTGCAATATTTTAATGCTTGGAATGCATGTCTGTCCAGTTTTCCCTGGACTGATTAAACAGGAAGTTTGCTAGGATTGCATCAGAGTTACAGACTTGGTAGAAGGGATGAAGACAGAAGCAAGCAAATGTACTCAAGAAAAAAGCCCATTGTGTTCTCTGTAGCCACCAACAAAAAGAAACAGCTGCACAAGTGCTTCAACACATCCACAGAGCTTCCTCAATCCTGCTAGAACATTTCTTCTACTACTCTTCACTACTGTTCTTACAACAGGCTTTGTTCTTTCCACCAATAATGCAAGACCATCATCCTCCTAATTAAAGTCAATCCCTTTTGAGATCCCCTAAACCCAAAAGATGTCTGTAATAAACCAAAGATACAGAAGGCTGAATTTGACCTAGACCAACTCCACCTTCTAACACAGACCTTCACAACTCTACTCTCTGAAGTTCTTTTCTCACAGTGGCAGTAGCATTTTGCATTTTTCCCTATAACATCCATGGTGCCACTCTAGACATCATCAGACTAACTGAAAAACATGGCACCTCTTCTAACTCCCTTGTTTTGGGCTTTGGAGGCAATTTTTAAATTACAGGAATAGGTCAGTGTGATTATTAAAAAAATAAAACTTAAATGCAGAGAAAATGGTCTACTGCACTTATCAAATAAGACCTAACCCCACCTTTTGGTAATAAATTGCATATGTAAGTGCTAAGTATAATTTGCTATTAATAATTTATTATTATTATTTATGTTATTTAATAACAGCATAAGCATGTCCAGGAAAGAGGCAGCATACCCCACCACTTTCTTAAGTGAACAAGTTCCTTCCTCTGCATAAGTATTCCGGCCCAGAGGTATATTATGTCAGATGAACTACCCAGTCTATCTCCACTTTTTGCCTGGGAAGGAAGCTTCCAGATAAAGGAAAGAACAGTCTTAAAAATGAGATACACAATGGTAGAGACCATAATGACATCTAAAAGCATTTCCAGTAACACAGAAAATCTTTATTGCTTTCTGCATGCTCCTTAATTATGTTAATCATGATGAACTTTAATATTATTACCCACTAATAATCTTAAATTGATATCAAGGTAGATGCAATATATATTACTATATGATTTCCACGCTTGTCTGCATGAAGGACAAATGGGGTGAATTTTTTTCATTATGGCTTCTGTTATATTTTCCCTGCGTAAAGTCAATCGTGTACTGCCACAGAAAGAAATCCATAACTCATACTGTTTTGAGATCAGCTTTTCCTTGTTTGAGAATGGACAGGTTCACAAGTATAGACGTAAGATTGTTATATAGCCAGGGTAAAAGGATAGCACAGTCAGAGATTTGCACACTTAAATAAAAAAAATTACAAATTAACTGTATAGAAAGAATTTGAAAATGAAGATTAATTTATCATCCATTGCCAGACAGCAGTTTATATTGGAGCATTGGAGAAGAAAGTTAACTCATTAAAAGGATGGTGCCAATAAAAATGCTTAGTACTCTTTATATAAAAAGTCATTTGTAAAAGTAATTTGTCATTACCAGAGTAGATTGACTGAAAGTTACGCAAATGTAGAATGTCAAGGAAATCCTCTGAGAACAAAAAATACTGTAAAAATCAGCATTGCCAGGGGTGGGGAAATGGACCCCTATAATGCCTTGTTAAGGAAATAAAGCAAATAGTGTGATAAGGTGCTTTACAAATACATAAAGAAAAATACTGGCTGAAATGGGCTATTTTGCCATTGGATTTCTAGGTTTGGTGTAGGACATACCTCACTCAAGACCAAAGAAATTACCTCTGTATTAGACAGCCAATGTGTACATAGATGCCAATTTAGCTTCACCACTGGGATGTTGGGCTGTGGACAGCTAAACCCAGCTTTTCACATGGTCCTAAACAGCCAGGCAGCCCCAGGCCTGCAAGGTAGTCTGAAACTATTCCCATAATTGTCCTCACGTCCCCATCTGATTCTTGCTTCTTCACAACTTCTTATTAATTCATCATAGCTGTCACAAGTTTCTTCTGTAAAAGACCCTGACTGAATGCCTAGGCTCTCTGCTACTGCTCAGTGTGCCCAAGGAAACAGTACAGACTGACAGGAGGCACTGAGACATAAATGCTGAGCTATGCCCAGCAGGCAGGGATGGGAACCAGAGTGGACCAGAATGCCCAACTGAAGCTTTGAGATGCAGGAAATCACGTCTTCTCTGCTTGTCCCCATCCTTTTGGATGCAGGGAGAGATGAGACTCATTACTTCTCTCATAAAAATTTGTGAGAGCACCTAAAGGAGTTAGGGCTTGGCATCCTAGAAACACATAGTATCTCTACTTTTGAAAGGCACAGCCCTGGCAAATGGCCCCAAGAACCCCTACAGAACCTTTTCTCAGCAATATCTAGGCCACAAAAGATTTGTCTTCCTCCTCTGTCCATTGTATGACCAGGGCAGAGAAACATAGATCTTTTACAGAAAACTGGAAAAGAAAACTAGACCCTCACTATCAGGGGCACAATAATGAAAGAATCAATCATGGAAAAGCCCGTGGGCATTTCAGCATGCAATAAGAGGTCTCAAGACAGTATTAAACCAGATTATTGTGCTGGCAGAGCATTCTCAGAGAGACCAGCATCCTCTCTCAGTTTCCTAGGCACAAACATTCTCCAGGCATTAACTATGGACACCCATCCACCAGTGACAGCCAGCTAGATGGCAGCCTTGCGTACCACTGCAGATCTGCCCTTCTGAATAGACATCTATGACAACTGTTAATACCAAACCTTTACCAATGGAAAACTAAATGTTAAACAAGAGTGGAGAAAGAAGACTTCTAATACTGCAAGATTTTTCTTTTCTCATACCAAAAAGGCAATTGTTTAATTTATCAAGAGATTTCTACTTGTAACCCATACAAAGAACTGTCTATATTTTACACTCACTCATCTCTTTGTTTTCTCTTAAGTTTGGAGTGCTATCCTATGGGAAAGCCTTTCATTTTTCCAGTCCCATTATGTCTTAACTGAAGCCTCAGAAAAGGCCATTTAGCAGTCTTACACCTGACTAAAGAGAGGGGAGAGAGGATGTAGTTACCAGAATGTGGAGACTTCTTAGTCAAGCCCCAGAGACTCATCCTGAGGAGGAAGTATCTAGAACTTCAAAGGGAACTCACCCAAATAAAGTCCCTAGCATAGAGAAAGGGAATTGGAAATCCTCTTGATTCTGCTGGAAATACCATAATTAAAGAATGGAACAGATCTCTGCAACATTCCCATGAGTTCAGGCAATACCACACCCAGTCTGTTATGGCAGGAAATTGATAACAGCAAGTTGGTAAAAGTGCGTGCTCACATCAGAGATAGTGGATTCCCGGAGGAACTAGCATTAAATCACAGGATAAATCATGACCAGAATTTCTAAGTCTACATGGAAGATGAACCCCTTACGAGAGGGTTTTACCATCATAGGACTACGAGCAAACTATGCCACCACGTGTGCTGGAAGCTGATCCGAGGTTATACCAACCAAATTCTACTTGTTACTGGTACACACACCTACCCTGTATAGGCCAAATAAACCTTGCCAGCCAATAGTTCTGGAGATACACTAAGGATTACTGCTACCACAGCTGCACAATTTAGAGATCAAACCTATTTCCATGCCTGAAGCCATTCGAAGAGGAGCCTCTCGCATAAAATATGCAACCATAGCTAATGACATGTTGTATATAATTAGTCATGTCTAGCCCTCCAGGGGGTAACTAATACATTTAGTAGATATTTAGCATGCAATTTAGATCTTTTTCCAGATTTCTCAAAACCAATTTTTTTGGGGGGTGGGGGGTGGGGGAAGGACAGCTGTTGCCAGGAAAGAAAAAAATTCATGGCAATGAAGAAATTTGCATATACTTGGCCAATATTAGTAAAGAAGTTTAAGGCTGATTGCCTCTCCAGGATATGGACATTTTTACGAGATCCTTAACAGAAGAAATTGGTATTTCTAACCAGTCTTTTTTTTTCCTCACTAAGACTAAGTATGTAGTAGTTTGTGTTGTAACTAGGAGTATAAATTTAGTAATGCCAGAGATCTGATTGGCTGTATTTCTGAAGATATCAAAATTGAAATGTAACAGCAGTACTAGGAAGGACAAGGAAAGGAAAATTCCACATAAGACAATGGGGCTGATTCTTACTTGACTTAATAGCAATGTTGATCAAGAGTAATTGATGCTGAATTCAGAGAACTTACTCAAGGGGAGAGAAGGGGATGGAAAAGGAGAGAGAATTGCCGTTTTCAGAATTACAGGCTATAAAAGATATCCAGAGCCAAGAAAAAATTCCTTACTGATTTTCTATTGCATTCACATTTGGAAAACAACTTCATTTCTTTCCATGAGACCTTTGCATTTCCAAAACTTCTTAAAGACAAAATATTTGGTCGAGCGTGTTGTATTTGCAACAATTAGCAGAGCAGCTATTTAGAAATAGCTGTTGCAATGAACCATATCCATTGCAAAAAGGGACACAATAAGGAGAGGAACAAAACTGATCTTCCACATTCCTGTTTCAAAACAGAGGGCACAGTGCTGATCAAATTTTGATTTGGGTTCATTTTAATTAGCCTGTGGGAATTCATTACACAGAATGTAAGATACAGTTTTGAGAATTTAGCTCTCCTTCTCTAGGCCTCCATCTCCTGAGAATCCTACCCTCAGTTTCAACCTCTTCAGCGTTCTCTCTGAGCATAGCTGTCTCTGTGGGTCATGGAAAGTTTATATACAATGCTCGCCAAAGACTACTGGCAACCTGAGACTTTCTGTGAGGATTTCACACACACATTTGTAGAGCTCATCAAGCTCCAAGAGCCATCCCTTGGCTATACTGCACTCACAGCTCACAGTCCTGGTCTGCATTAGCACATCTAAAGTACTAAAAACCTCTTCCTGTCCCAGACCCTGCACTTCATTGGAGAGGCTATTGGTGCTGTGTCTGCATTTCTCTGCCACTGAATTATGAAGGGCACAGGGATATCTGTAACAGCAGCAGAATCTCAACCCTTTTGTACTTGTGTTACTGCTGCTTTTCTATGTCCAGTGCTTTCTCTACCTCTCAGCACCACATATTTTTAACATGTCTTCACTGATAATGTCGCTCTGACTACACAAAGGACTGGCAGCTTTTCAGTTACCAAAATAGTGGCTGTTACATAAACAGTTTTCTCAACTCTTTTGTGCTTGATGCTTCTGTGACAGTGTTTATAGTTCACATTTTGACAATGTTTTTCAGAATTCAAAGATTTCCATTGTATTAGTTTGTCTAATACTGACATCTCAAACGCCATTCCAATCTCATCTATCATTTTTATGCAAGCTTTTCCCTCAGAATTATAAAAACCAGTCATAAGCACTTCAGGAAGGGCAGACTCATCTAAGCAAGCAGCAGGTCATTTGCATGCTAACAGCAACTTCCACAGGGGAAGCAAACCACAATCACAAAATGGTGTACTAAGCCTAAAATGTGAACTAGATCAGAAACAAATAACAGCTGACATAGCCACCCAAAACCAAAATGACAACAGTCACCACCAGACCTTCATCTGTACGGTTTCTGCATACTAAAAACATGTTTGTATTGGGGTTCTAGTGGAGGATTATTTAAATGTATCAACAGGGTAATGTTCTTTTTCAGTCACCTGTGTGACAGGATCACAAAAATGATATAGCATTAAAGATTTTTCTCTTTGTCCCAGGAAAGCCACACAGCCTTCCTTAGAAAAAAGATGGGTAGGGAGGGAAAGAAGCCTGTGCTTGAAACTGAAGGAAGAAAGGAATGCAGCATTCTCAGTTCTTCTCTGTAAATTAATTTTATTATATCTAAATCAAAATGTCAGCACATACTTTATTTTCAGCTACTTTTATATACTGTATATTAGACAGCTGTAATTTCATGTTGCATTTCAAAAATACATTCCCATGAAGCGTAATTCTAAATAGCAGAAAGTGTCACAATACTTTTACCTGTACACACAGACAACACTTATGGCCTAATATCTTTGTGAACCCTTCCAGTATACAAATTGCAGTACCAATGGTGAAATTCCCCTGGATTTTGTCTGTAACAGCAAGCACAAATAGAAATTTCAGAAAAAGACCCAAGAAATCCTGAAATGCTAACTGGGTAGGTGAAGGAGAGTTTCTTTCTTCTCATCATATAGATAGGTCCTAGAATGTGAAAACAACCTTCTTTTTTATATATCCTCTTTAAAGAAGTGTTACTTTTTGAAACAGCTCTTGCGAGCTGCATTGTTGCTGCTGGTTTTTTTTTGAAAGGTCTTGGAGGACTCGATCTCTTGTGCCCATGAATTTCCATGAGTCAACTATGCATTAATAAAGGCAAGAGTTCACACATGCAAATGGTATTTTGTGAAAGAAGTCATATGAGATTTCATTTGCATTGCATTTTAAAAACCCACATAACAATCTTTTTCCTCAATAGTTACAATATAGGCCATTAGGTCTATATATCATACCAAAAGAATAAACAATTATATTAATTTTGCAGTGTAAAAATGAAAATAGCATATATACATGCAATTTTAGGCATATGAAGGCTAGCTATTTATATCTGAAATTTGGCAGCTTGTAGTATACTTGCACAGTATTTTTAGTATTGATATATCAGAGAATGTTGGTGTATGTGACTGACAGCTGACTACATTTATATTTACACTACAGAAAGGTTTGTGTAATGATGATATCACATCAGATACCAGTCCTTTTAAAAGTACTATGATATATGCTTTCATGGCCACGAAATAGATTTACATTTAAAGCTTCTAAATTAGGCACTCTAAAGTAGGTATGATTTTTTTTCTTTGAAGTGCTTGGAGACTGTTGGACACTGAAGGTGCTTTAAAACCCAATCTCACCCTTCCATGGAATGACACATCAATGCAGGGCATGATGATGTTCCACTGGCTCCAGAGGAATCATTCAGAGAACAAAGGCAAATGCGATAGGAGAAGTACTAAATCTTATACAGTACTTACTTTAAAACTTCCATTGAAGTAAAAGACTGTCATTTGAACTCAAAGATGTTTAAGCACCTGGCTGACTTTGTGTTTAAAGAATACATGCAAGTAATGCCTGTAACTGAGAAAATGGACCTTACTAATTGAGACAGATTCTGTAACAAGCACTACCTGCAGATCAACATGCACCATTATACCTGAATGCAGAAAAACGGTCTCCATCCCAAACTCACGGCCTAGTGCTGTAAAATTGTGTTTCTGTAATATCTCAGAACAAAATAGGCAGCATTAAAGTTCAGTAGTCTGTTTCAAAGATTCTTGATTTTAGCTATGACAAAGGTAACATTTCTAGAAGTCAAAAGTTTTGACAGATATATGCAATGTAAGGTTTGTATTATGCAATGGCTAGATAAAGTTTATTAAAACTACCCCTCATATTCCAAAAGAATGCCACTGCATTATGTAGCTACCTTAATGTTCATCCTGTTACATCCCTGGTTGCCATGGCAATATCCTCCTAGGTATTTGTAAGGTCACAAAAAGAAGAGCTAACCCTCTTACTCCCAGAATAACTAATGCAGCTCAGTTACAGGCTTGATGTAAATAGTCTCAGGTGACAGCAAACTGTACATATAGTCAATTACAACTGCTCAGAGGAAATGATTTGTTGTAAGAGCCTCTGCTCAACCTCGGTGACATCAATGTTTCTATGGCAACAGTTGCCTCTTGCACTGCTTAGAATTGAGTATTGATCAAACTAGGGCCAGCACTATTTCAGAGACTTGCTACTTTTCTGTGTGGCAATTTACAATAGGAACTCATAACATCACTGTATATTTCAAGCCCCAAGGAACCAATTTAGCAGACAGTTACAGTAGAATATTAGCAGAGGTCAATAATGGAAGTCTGATTATAGTCCTGGAACAATTATTCAAAGCTTTTGTTGTCTGCTCTTTCATCACTCCACCAGCTATTAAAATCTTCAAATAATAATATTCAACCCCAAAGAAAGTGCTGAATTCATTCATCTTCTATTTTAAATTTTATTTTTCATTGTTATGTTATCTATCAATAAAATTATTCAGCTATATTAGCCACGCTCTGACCTCTCAGAAGTAAATAACTATTGATCAAGAAGTGGAGCTCTGATGGCATAGCACACGGTTTCCATTAATGGTCTCATTGGCCCAGCAGATAAGGTGATTCTTGCAGGAGAGCAGACAAACAGCACAGGGCCATTCCCAGAGGAGAGCAGGAAGGCACACATGGTTCTTTGTAGGGGGATGGGGACTCCTCTCCCACGTCTGTCAGCAGCAAAATGGAAAAGCCTCGGTAATATGTGTGTGTTCCAGAAAAGGCACTGAGGCCTTTACACCTCTCACACGCAATCTCTGCATCTGGGCATTCTCACGTTTTAGAGGGGATAAGGAAAGTTTTCGTGTCACCTGTTTTCCTTTATGAAAACAGATACAGCGTGGGGGTCTTTTGTGTGTTGAATGGCAAAAATGGCCAGTCTCAGGACTAGCCAAGAATTTGTGATGAGTAATAATGCTGAGAATGTCAAGAGAATGATGTTACTCTAAGAATGTTTCTTCTTCATTAATTGTGAGGGTTTGCGGACTGAAGAGATTGCTTGCTTCTTAATTTTAAAAACATCACACACATCAGCCTATGATTTGTCACTCCTTTTGCTCCTACAGTAATTTTCCTTTATGCTTGAAACAGGGAAATGAAAGAAAACTCTTTGCATGGTTTACAACAAGAAACAATTTACTGCATTTCTCTAACCTCATCAATTAATGAGTACTCACAGAATTAGCCTATCTCTTAACATGATGCACTTCAAAAAATACTTTTCTATACCTCCCAGCAATTTGCAAAATGAGGTATTTATGGGAAGCAAAGTTTGTCTCCTGCTCTTCCACCTATTTTAGTAGGTCAACCCAGAAATTTTATTTCAGGCCCTCTTCTATGTAAATTGTACTTCAGATGCACATACATTTTCATTCAAATCAATAGGAGTCAGACATATCAAAGGAGGAAATTATCCCCTCATTGAGTCTTCTTCTCCAAAGTAGATTTATGTAACTCCTACACAGAGACAATGTAGTTAATTACATTCTTCTTTGAGTGCATCAGTGGGAAAATAGGATTTAACTATCAGGGATGTTAAGCAGACAAATTCACCAGGAATTGAGAAAATTCCTGTACTCATCTCCAAAAAAGAGGGGGAGAAACTTCCAAGCTCAGCAAGATCTAAATGAAAATGCTAGAGGGAATGAAGAGAAAATGAACAATCATTTCTGAGGTTAGTAAGATTCTCAGTTGGTCACTATTCCCATTTAACTTCTTTGTCATTGTTTCCCCAAAGAGGGTCAAAAAGATCAATCTGTGATGTCACCAGGATGCTCTAGCAGCTCCCCCATCTTTTATTCATTAGGTTCAGGCTGTGTTGTTTCCTGTCTATCTCAGTGTCTAGCCAAGATTGAGGCCTGGATGACACTGGTTGGCTGATACACAATCCAGAAGAGGCAGATGTTGTACTGGAACCAGCAAACTGAAAGGCAGGGAACACATGTAGCTACTTTATCATTGGAGGATCAGTTGTAACAACCTAAAAGCTTTAAAGGGATTCTCTCTTTTTGCTTCTCAGAGAGAAGAAAAATAAGTCATAAGTGCCTTTCAGGTCTATTATTGATCAAGGGTAATGGGAACTTTCTGTTGCAGCTGCAGAAGTCATTCAGGTTCCTGCCTGTATGGAAGTGTCTTGGAAAAATGTGGTTAATAAAATGCAGTAATGGCTGGCTACTACTACACATTGCAGAAAGCAGAGTGCAAAAACTATTCTTCTAAAAAATCTGGTGTAAATGAAAACTTTGTACTTATTTGTAAAACAGGTAGTTCTCCTATAGTTGGGAAATATTATTTTTTTTGCATGAACGGGCTATGGCAACTAAACACTGACACAGTAATCAAGTACAGTGACCAAAGAAAGTGCACCATGCAGAAGCATCATCCCAGCACAGTTTCCATCACTATTTTTGTGGATTTCTGTGAGGTTACACTTTATATACCATTTTGTACAGTAAATTTGAAGTATGTAAGTTGTACCAATTCACTACATGGTATTAAAGTGGCTAAAATTATGGTTTCATACTTTAAATAGAAAAATGAGAAAGGGTAAAAGAATAATAAAAAAAATCTCACAAATTCTAATACTGTTTTAGGGTTAATTCCAGCTTTTTCTTCCAGAACTAACAACTATATCTAGGCTGAGCTGTTGGGTTATTGTTCCACTTAGGCACAGTCTTTTCTGGTATGTTGAATCAGACCTTGAAATTATCAAGGAATAAATTGACTTCAGTGCATACAGGGACAGACTTTTAAAGCAGTTCTGTGTGGTTCTGATCAATAGGTACATGGTTTATGTTCTTGACTACATAGCCTTGATTTAGAGAGCTCCCTTGGAGCCTAAGACATAGTATTCCTGTATTGGGATGAGCTACAGTGAAACAACATGAGGACCATGAACCCACCTATCTTTTATTTCTCACCACAGTCTGCAGGTAAAAATATAACACCTCATCATTTTATCTTTCTGTATATCACTGTACAATCAGCAGTACTTTCTTTTCATCAAAACCTACTCGACAAAAATTGTAAAATTTGAGAAAGCACTAAGTCTTTTATGTTGCAGAAATATAAGGTGCATCAAGCCCAGCCTTTAAGTGAGCCAATCCTCCAACTGGAAGATATAAGCTGTCACAAGTGCTTTACACAGACTGCTTTTTAGACTGATTTTGAATTTCGTTGTGGGCTTACATCACACAATTAGCACCAATATCAGCTACAGCAATTAGCACCAGAGAGGCTCCAAGAGCTGCCACTCTGGGTGAACTAAACTGCTAAACACGTTCCAGCATTTTTCTATTTTCAGTGTTCAGTCCTGTTCACTAACTAGAAAGAGTTATATTGAAATTGCTGAAATTGAAATTACTCTGAAATTGAAAATTAATTCCAAATTCATATCAGAGGGAAACCCTAACAACTCTCAGCATTACAGCTGAGGAAGGATACATTTTCCACCGAACAACCATGCAAGAGCCGTCAGTCCTCTCCTGTCTTATAAGATAACTTTTTACTCTGCATTTCAAATTACTGCTAAGAGAGATGGACTTTTACCTCTTCAGCCTGTGCAATACCAGTGCTGTTTTTCTAACTTCTAAGTTGTTTAGAGGAACACAGTCAAAAGCCTGAGAAGAAAAACAAGGATGCAAAAATGACTCTCTTATACCTTTGCTTGATGAGGTATCAGAAAGTCAACATCCTCAATACTGTTCATTTAGGTCAGAAGAGGCAATAGAAGCAGAAGTTGCATTTGAAACATATCTCTAAATTTCAGCTTACAGAAAACAAATAAGCTGTGCAACAAGGAGCTCACACGTACAGCTATTGAGGAATATGAAATGGAAGCTTACAGGCATAGTTGTCAATATATTTTGATGTATAGTTGAAGACTTGATATATAGTTATATTCCAAATTTCTACTGGAAAGTCAATTCTCTTGCAATTAAACGCTTACCACAATAAAAGGGAGCAAAAGAAACTGTCATATCAGACATTTATTTTGAAGCATTGTGCTTTAAAATGCTCATGTATAAAAAATCAAAACTAAAACCCCCATTTTTCCATTGCATCTCAAGAAAAAGGAGAGAATCTTGTTGAAGCACGGTGAGTAAGCACTCCAGAATAAGCCTTTTCATGAGAAAAAACCCCTCTCATTTGAAGTAACATTATTATGGAATTATTTTAATGGAACAAAAAAGCTCCTTTCCTCCATCTATAACTAGACACAGCAATAAATTAAGGATGGAAAGTCCCAGAGGTATTCCTCATGTTTGATTTCAAACATACTGTGTTGCGTTCAACAAACCTCTCAGAAGCAAGTGTTCAGCTAAGACTGTGCAGTTCAAAAACATCAGGAGCCCCTAAAGGACACAATGGAGATTAGGAGCAAAACTCAGAAAAGCAGTCAGGAAAGTCGTCCTCTTTCATATTTTCTTTCCTTAATACTGAACTGGGCAAGTGATTAAGTACTGTTAAGTAGTTTTCTAGGGTTTCCAGACCTATTTCTTTTGATCAGAGCATTTGCTAAAAGTAAAATTCAAATCCAAACGAGCTTTGTTAAAGCCCCAATTCCTGTGTTCCTCACCCTGGGTTAATACCCAATCACGTGTGTCAAGGTCAGAAGGGACCAATGTGATCATCTAGTCTGAAGTGCTGCACAACACAGACCATAGAATTTCACCCAGCAATTCCAGCGTCTAGCCAAGTAATTTGTGGCTGAACTAGAGCGTATCTTTCGAAAAGTCAGCCAGCAAGCTCTTAAGCATTTGTGGAACTTCATCTGCTTGAGTATGTTCATTTAGTTCACTAGAGTAGACGTAACTGTTTAGGCTTAAGAGTGCTCAGGGTCAAAATGCAAAACAAACAAAACTCAGCTGCCAAAACCCCAAAAGTTTTCCGTTATTAGTGAGGGAAGACCCTATGATGATTCACAAAGCTCTGGGTCATTCCTGCAAGATAAAAGTTTTTTGAATTTGTTAGGATGTCAAATATTTAGAGCTTAAAAAGAAATATGTCTCAGCAATGGCAAAATCCTTTGGCTAACCTCACAGGCAAAGACACATGGAGAGATCATAATTTCCAGAGATTTTAGAAAGAGCAAACACTTGCCAGCCTCTAAAAAGTAATCCTGTAAGTAAAAAAAAAAAAAAAAACTAAAAAAAAAAGTGGAGGGAGTGAGTGGAATAAAAATACTCAACACATCTTTAATCTTTAAATACACATATACAGCTTCTCCACGAATGGAGGGAAATCTCATCTACCTGTTTAAACCATCATCCAATCCATTTGCACAGACAGAAACAACTATTTTATTCTGATTATTTAACTGTTCTCAAACTCCTATTGAAGAGGAAGGATCAAGCTACAAAATAGGTTACATTTTGGACAAACACTTCATATTATGAGTACAGTTCCAACTAGGTCTTTATTAGAGACTTAGCTTCAAGTGTAATGGAGCCTCATTTAGAAAGTCAAGTCCTTGCCTTTGTAGAAGAGATTTCACAATAAAAACATAATCTTTTCCTGAAAGGAAAAATAAGGCTGATTTCTTTATGGAAAGAATAGAAGCAAAAGAAGTACCAGTGGAATGACAAAGTACTGTAATGAGTCAAAGATATAGATAGGTTCTATTTCTAAACCTGCTACCTGCTAATGTGGAAAATCTCTTCCTTTTCTCCATGTTAATTTCCAAGGTTTGCTCTAATTAAAATTGCAAGTTTAATTAAAGCTGTAAGTTTTCCAGAATAAAGTCTATACTTGCTGTGATTGTGTTTGCATGATGTACTAGTAAGCACCAGCACAAATATTTTAATGTTGCTTTCTGTCATGTGCTATAGAAACAATCAGAGAAGAACAAAAGTGAGGAGGAAGGTGATCAAACCTTCTGAAATAAGGTAATTTGAAATACCTGAGGGAGTAGAAAGCTAAGATGCTAAGAACAATAAAAAAGTGGGAAGGAGAAAAAGATGCGGGAAATGGGAATTGTATTGAAGAGATGAATGCTGAGTGCAGATTAAAAAAAAAAATCTAAGCATAAATAGAATTGCAGAATGGTATTTCCTGATGGGTCACGTGCAATATGTTGCATCTCTGTGCCACAGAAGTAGGATGGATTTTACACAGCTAAAGCTTTGAAGACAGTGCTTGGTTTGCCAGTATGGAGCCTGCCTTCACCTTTATTACTGAAGGAGGATGTTTTTATTTGCCTAGTGCAATGCATTATATCCATAAATTCCATCCACTCAGCAAGTCAAATTAATGCTAACCTACAAGATACATTAGGTATGGGTTTAAATCAGTCACTTAAGATATACTGCAACCTAGTTTCTATCCAGGTTTGCAATATATTCACCATTAAAATACCCTGCAAACATTCCTCAAGATGCATTGTTTGTTGGGGTGTCTCACCTTTGCCAGCAATGTGAAGGTGTAAAGAATACAAGATATAATTTGTGTTGTTCCATGATCACTACCAATGAAATTTCAGACTGTCAAAACATTCCAGTGCTACAAGAAAACAAATCCTGCTGAATCACATTAGTTAACCACTTAATAGAAAAATCTACTGATTTCCATCATGAGTAGCTTGCATTGGGCTTATGTGAGATTGTGATATTTTTCAGGTGATAGCAGGAGAAAAGCTGATGAATTACATCTGAATTCTTACTGGTATATGGCAAAATTAAGGTCTATCTACTTAATGGTGATGTCCAAATTTTCTTCATTCATCAAATTGTCCTATTTTACATAAAAGGCATTTATAGGCATAACTACTAATGCCCTATAATGTGTATGTACGAGTTATCAAAAATAATTTCAAAGCTAACAAGCTGATTTCTGTAGTTGCAGAGTTACACCTACTGCAATCATTTTAGATGAGAGAGGCATAGAAAGTACAAATGGAAAAAAAAACAGGAGGGGAAATTCAGAATGCAGAAGTTTCCCTAGAGGGATGCAGGACATAGATACATTTCTACAGCATGTGTCACTCCTTTGTCAATATTTACCCAGCAAGTTGAATGATAATGTGCAGTCATTATTAAACTCAGCCTTCTAAAAGAATAGGTTCTGGCTCTTGATACAGTTGCTCTGTGTAAATTATTCCAGGGATTATGCCTGGATTGTGCCACTGGCAGTTATTTCAGATCTACATCTCATTTCCAGATGGTTCATCTGTTTGCTTCTTTAATATATTCAAGATTCATTGTGTTTGTCACACATTTACACATTTTTAATGTTGGTTACTCAGATAAATTTGATCTCAGACAAAGAATAAAGAGATAACATCTGTAGATTTTTCATGCTAATGCTAACTTAAAAATTTCTCTAAACAGTGAAAGCACAAGATAGTTTTTGAAAGATTATCCAAACATTAGAGTTTTTCTTGCTCATTAAATATTGTAGGAAACAAAATTGGTCTGCCTAATTTTACCAAATTATTTCCTTCAGTGCAGGAAGCCAAGACATGCATAAGGGAAGCCATAGCCCATATTTTTCCTGCTGAGGTTCAGACTTTTGCTCCTACTTTTGAAACAAACAGTATGCACACAAGGCAGATTCATATAGCCCTCCCTTCTAAGCACTTTTTAGTAGTCCTTTTCTCAAAAAGGTATTGGTTTCATGGAGAGGGAAGAAAGGTAAAAAAACCCCAGTAAGTCTCCACTCTATGCTGTGTTTTCAAGGCTTTGTAGAGGAACTCCGTGGTATCACTATATTTTCCCCTGTATCTACCATATGTTTCTTAGGACACTGTTCATGAAAGACAGAAAAGAATCCATCATTTCCACAAAATATTTGCACCTCTGTTACATACTTTTACATACGAGAGGTGCTAAAAGTGTCTACTAAAATAAGAATTATTGGCTACTTTCTACATACATTAGATTCCTAAGGTTCATGGGCTAGGCAATTAAGGCAAATAATTACTATCTCAAACGTACAGGTAAGAAGTGGGCATAGGAGAGTGACTTTCCCAGGCCAAAAAAGACAATGGGAGAAGTTCAAATGGAATTCACATCTCCTGAGATCCAGTCCAGCATTGTATTTTTAACCTGGATTATACTAGTAAAGGCATGGGGAGAAGTGTGAAATACTAAGAGCTTTCTTTCACAGACAGAAAGGGACTCAATAAAAATGCAGGGGGAAAATACTCTGAAATCTAATTTTTATATTTCACAAGCAAATCCTGTTGTATTACAGAAGCTCAAGAAACAGATCTGCATGGAAAAGCTGTTTGTAGAAAATACAGAGCCATAACCTCTGATTATCAAGCCACCCCAAGTTTTGTTAGCATGTGAAATGATATTTATCCCACGCATTGATTGTCCATACTGAAAATAACAATATCACACACTTACAGAATACTTGTGGAATTTGTGCAAACTGTGAACATATTTTCAGATCAATTTTTGAGATAAAGAAATGAGACAGAAAAATATCTTCAGCCTTTTAAAACTACTAAAAGTTCCTACAGTTTATTTGTACATGCTTATTATCAATCAGTGGCAACATTAAGAGTTGCATGTAAAATTACACTTGCAATTATATCGACAAAGTTTTGGTCAGTGAACAGAAGGTTAAATCAAGTAAAATACTTCAAGTCCCAAAGAAAGCTCTGGAACCAAAACAATGAAAATGAAGCTCTCCCACCCCCTTGTCCTGGGCCTCAACCCCAGGAATCTTTGCTCTGTACTTGACAGTCTTTTATTTCAGAGCTTAAAAAAAGAACCATTTTTGCAGCCATAGAAGCATGTTCACTCTTCTCCAAACAGTACATTTGTCATTCATCAGTGAACATTCTGTGTTAGATTATGAACCATTAACACCATTCACCTGCACCATGATGAAAATGATATATCCACTTGTTATTTGAATAAGCAACAAAAGAAACAGACCCCACATATGGATTTAAATATCTATCTATCAGCTCACAGTGGCACGTCACAGCAAGAAGGCTGAACAAATATGCAAAAAATTGTTGTTTAATGGGGAGAAATACAGTAAAATTGTTTATAGTGGGGTAGTAAGTTCTTAGCGACTAAGTAAATTACAAACAAATTTTTCAATGACATTTTAAGACTTCATGTTAGATTCTTACATACTGTTCAAAAATCAATTTTGCATGGAATTTCTGTGAGTGTTCCATTATTAATACAGCAGCAGTAGGCAACTGTGGCTGCACTCCTGCAACAGTAACACCTGAGGGGGAAGAATTCTGCCACACATTATCCTTGCTTTAAACAGCTCAGCCCTGAATCCTTGCACAGCAAATCTCTACCTGGGATGAAATCCTTATGCCATCTGTAATCAAAAGGATGTCAAAGGCTGGGGAGGAGGTGAGTTATTGGTGTATCTCTGCAGGTCTTCACTTTACCTAACTCAAAGTAATTTCACTTCTATGGGCATTAAACTCATCCATTGTACAATCAAATTCAAATGGAAATTCTCAAAAGAAACCAGTAAGAAAAATACGTGAGAATCAAAAAAAAAGGTTTAGAAAGATACAGTATGTATTTAAATTATTTACAATTGTTTATATCACACAATATTTTATAACCAAAGATAGTCACATTTTTACTGAACATGTCAGCCTTTTTATCTAACTCTTGCTGCTGCATTCTTCCATGTCATTTAGTAGATGGCATGGTTCTGATCTGAGGGGTAATGATCAGAATTGGGACATCTTTATCCTAGTAATGTCATGCAATCCACATCTATCTGAACTGCAATTTCCTCTACGCACCTCATCTTCAATTTCTATATACCTGAGAGTACTGCAGATCTCAGTTTAATTTAGGACACACTGAAGCATATGTTTGACTTTGAGCGCTTGTTTAAGTGCTTTCACAAGCAGACCTGGAATGAGACTTTCACAATGAGGACATAAAATGCAGACCTAGATCCAAAATACAAAAGATTAAAGCGCTTTAGGAGACTTAGCAGATAACAGAGACTCCTGCTGCCCTCAAAACCAACACTGCTTAATTGCCCAAGGTTTATGTGACCTGAGGTTTACTTGCTTTTCAAATGAAGAATTAACATTCTTAGCTATATTCACTGAATTACCATCTGTAGAGGGAAACAGTATTCCCATACTGACCCTTATGTTTAGAAATTAGTAATGAAAATTTTCTGATAAATACATCTGAATAAGAAATTCCACATTCTAAAGACAAATCTCCTTTCCCAACATTATTATACAAAATATTAAATAATAGAGAAGTCTGTGTACCTTGATTGGCTAACAGATGAAATCTGAATAGTGCCTAATACAACCTAATTCATTGTTCAGAATTTATGAGACTCATCATCATTTAATTAACAATATAAATATTAAAAAACATTTTCTAATAAAATTTTATAATTGTAATAAGACACTCCACTATATGAATTATGGAGTATTAATTCACACCCAGTTGTGTTGAAACTGGGTATGAATGAATAGATCATAATTCACATCTTGTCATGTCTTAGAGCTGAAAATAAAAATGCAGACAAAATAAAATGGAATACTACCTTGCAGAGATAAATTAGCGAAAATTCAAGTTATTAATATAATTTATTGTTCCAGCTCTTTAGTCCAGCTTCTCACATATTACACGATGCCTTATCTCATAGTCCTTACACAATGGAGCATGTCTGCTTCAGCAGACACTGATGTGGTGGTGCTGACCCCAGAGTTCTTGCCAGGACCACTGGTAGATGATGCTGATATTTGCACCAGGAAAGATCTTGGCTGATTTTCTTAATGAAGATTTTTTTTCTAGTGAAATGACTCCAAATCAATGGATCTTAACAACTAATTAGGCTGAGTAACATGTTTTCATAAATTCAAATAAATTGATTTGTCAAAACTACAATTTAAACCACAATGCTTCAAGAATCTTAACTGACGCAGACTAATATTTATGGTCAAAAAAGGGAGCAAAATGCCCAGAAATATATTTTCTTTATCTAACTGGAAATTTCTGTTTTTTTCATTTCAAACTGATGGGTTTTTTTAAATTGGTGAACAGTTTCAAATGTGCATATGCTAAGTAAAATATTTCTTTATTTTTCTGTGAGCCAGAATGTCAGTTACTTCATAGAATCATAAATATTAAGTTTGGAAAAGACCACTAAGATCATTGAGTCCAACCTGTGACCAAACACCACCTGATCAACTATAGCACTAAGTGCCATGTCCAGTCATTTCTTGAACACTTTCAGGGATGGTAACTTCACCACCTCCCTGGGCAGCCTGTTCCAAGGTCTGGCAGCCCTTTCAGTGAAGAAATTCCTACTGATGTCCAGCCTGGTTCTGGCAAGAAAAATAAGAGTTTGCTTATACATATTTAAAACACTTAATAAGCAAAAAGATTTTGGAAGCTTAACTTGTGTGAATTTTAGAGATGCTTGAATTTGAATCTAGGTCAGTCCTGGATATCAGCCACCCACCTCTGGAATAGATGACACAAAATTTCACAACAGAGTGATGCAGTCAGTTTCACAGAAGTTTCTCTCAATGTGCATTCCTTATCTAGGTGCCAGATGGAATGCTGTAATGCTGTAAATCCAACTCAGGAATTAAGAGTAATTTGAACTTCTGGCTCTCACCGAGTGCAACCAAAGTACAAGAACTCTATCTCTGCTGCCGGAGCCACAAGAGACATCTTCTCTCAAGCAGCATGGACAGTTTGCACAATGTTAGCATAAATCCAAGCATTTGCACTGATGACAAATGACTGGGCACACCTCCATCCCACAGAGGACACCATTTTAGCCACCAGGGGGGCATTTCCTCTCGCATTATAGAGAAGTTAGGGGCCCTGGAGAACAAATTCAGATTGCAAGAGTAATTCAACCGCCCGAAATCCACTTTCTACACATCTGCTAAATTCCAGGCAGGGCCGCAGAGAATGAGGAATGTGGCAAAAAATCGTCTTCTGTTATACCAGATGCAACCATGACCCACAAAATGTCAAAAGATGCCACAGACCCAGTTCCCTAAGAAATGCTTCCAACAGGAAAGCTCCCTATTGCCCTTCCTCTCCAGTGAATGCTTTTTCCTATGTCATTTCCCAGTGACCTGCTCTGCTTGTCTTTGCAAAGTCTCTGGCACTGATAACATTTACAGACAACTGTGTGGCTACTTATCTGTAAATCTGTATCCCACTCACCCCAAGCAAAGAATTTGATGCAAGCTAGAAAATGCAGAGGGATGGATTACATTAATTCAATGATAACTCGGTTCTTGTTCAAACTCATCTGACATATGAGAAGAGAGAACAACATTGGCTCTTTGTATTATTAGGGTGGCTGAACATCAAGGGTGAAATCCTGGCCCTTGCAAAATTAGTGGGAAATTTGCCATTGACTTCAACGGAGCCAGGATTTGACCCTGGGTGAATACAGTTCCCATATGTGCTTCCATAAAGAAAATTAGAAATGATTTGTCTGATAGCATATGGAATCCATTTATGCATTATGAATAAGATTATTATTTAAAATGGAAGATAAATGCAAATTAACTTCTATATTCATGCATATATTTGCACATATCAAATACAGAACATGGGAATGAGAATCCATTACATTCTCTTATTTTTCTCAATGTTAGGCAAGAGTTTAAAAAACTTGATTGGGAGGAGACTTATAGGACAGAGGAAAGGTAACCAGCAACTTAAAAATTCTTTGCAAGTTTTATAATGATACAACCCAGTTTGCCTGGGTTCTGTATTTCCTGATGCCTGTCAGTCTAAATAGATCTTTAACATTGCTTTAATGTTAGGTTTTCTGGTTTTGAATGAATTTTACTATTAAAAGAAATATATTTGAAGGATTAAGAATGGAGAAAAAGCCGAAAAAGGGAATCTCATCCCTCATGGCTCTGTACTGCCTGACCTTTCCCACCAGAAAAATTATTCTACTTCTTTGGAAACATGGCTCAGTGCCATCCCCACTGCAGACATGGTTTCAAACTAACTTGGAGTTGTGCCACGAGGAACCTCTGGCTTATTATACAGGACGGATGCCAGACAAACTGGCTGAGGTGTGGTTGGGTTTTATGGACTTTCAATTGAAAGTTATGCTATACATAATGTGATTAGATCTGACTGGAATGTTATTCCTCATTTTGTTGTATTGAAGTTTAATTGTTTCCTTATTTCACTGTCATCTCTCCATTTGACTAACACTTGTGTATCACTGGTAAGATACAATATTCAGGCTTTGTCTTTATACACTACTGCTCTTTGGACCCGTTTTACTTCCTTCAGAGAAAGAAAGAGAGAAAGAGAGA